AATCATCCCTTAATTCCCGCACCACCCAAGGGTGCGGAAACTGTGTTCGGCGCTTGTCATCCACTGGCCAGAGTTTCTTATCGCGAGCACATGGCGCTACCCAAAATATTGATAAAAATCAAGAAACTAGCAGAGGCTGAAATTCCCCTCACATCGTCCTTCCTCGAGGTGTTCGAAAGCATCCCCTAATTTCTGCACCACCGAAGGGTGCGGAAACTGTGTTCGGCGCTTGTCATCCACTGGACAGAGTTTCTTATCGCGAGCACATGGCGCTATCCAAAATATTGATAAAAATCAAGAAACTAGCAGAGGCTGAAATTCCCGTCACTTCGAAACATCGTCCTCCTTGAGGTGTTCGGAAGCATCCCCTAATTCCCTCACCACCCAAGAGTGCGGAAACTGTGTTCGGCGCTTGTCATCCTCTGGTCGGAGTTCCTTGTCGCGAGCACATCGCGCGACACGTCCGCGGCGGAGCCGAGTTTATCGGAAACGATCGAGAAGCTCAAGGGGAAGCGGTTAATGACAAGGCGATGCCACAGAGGGGAGCGGCTGGGTGTAAAATCTAGACACAACCGGGATAATGGAAAGCCCAGGTTCCCGCGTTCCCGGATCCTCCAGTGCTTCCCTCGGGATCTCTCCCCCTCCGGGTCGGCCGGTCGCGCCTCTGGAGCGAGTTATCAAAACGCAAAGTTACGGCAACCCCTCGCCGAGGATCGAGAATTCGAGGGAGAAGGGTGGAGTAGTCGGCCGGCCAGTTTATTGTTCGACGGGCGGCGGGATCGTTTCGAAGCCTCCTCGAACATTTGCCGCAAGCACTGTCGTTACGACAAATCCGCTTAAGAGGCGTTCTCGAACGAGCGGTCACGTCGCGTCTTTTTTTCTTTTCTCTTTTTTCACCCCTCAGACATTGTCAATTTGCTCGAATCGTCGGAAACCCGAAACATTCCACACTCGGGGCGCAGCGAACATTCAGCCGACTATTTCCCCCCGAGCTTTTGGCCCGAGCTCGATTTCTTGAATTTTGCGACGGAAATCGCAATCGCAAAAAGGTAAAGCTCCCCACAAGCCGCGAAATCAATGGCGCGGGGTGGAACTTTTCAATTTGAAAGCCGATTTGTTTCGGGTTGACGTCGAACTAAAAAGAAGGGGTGGGTTTAAGAGGCGCGAGGGTGGATCAAGGAAGGAGCTTTTCGAGGAATCCGACGAGACCGACTTAATGGTCGCGGGCATTCGAAGCTTTTAGCGAGGAAACGTGGAAACGGAATCAGAGCCCGAACCGGAAATGCTGTATCGCCAGATATTTGAATTTATGGGTGTTAATTCGGACCCTTAAGGGGATGTGAAAGTGGCATCCGAAAGCTCAATCGTTCATAAAACTTTTCTACGAACTGGGTGTCTCAAATCGTTTCATACTTTAAAACGTGAATATGGAGACCCTAAGGTAGGTCCTGAAACTCGGGAAATTTAATTTTTTATAAACTATTTTTAAAATACCTATAAACAAAGGTGAAAAGAATTAAAATTTCAAGAGGTTCAGGACCTTCCTTATAATCTCCCTATTCACGTTGTAGAGTTTCAAACTATCCGTTAAATCGAGTTGGGAGAAAAATTTTATAAACAAAACCTCTTCGATGCTACTTTGACATCGCCTTAAGGCGATGCGAAAGCGAGGATCCGAGAAACGAATCGTTTGTGGAGCTTTTTTTTTTAACTAGGTGTTTCACATCACCTTAACGTACCCCCGTAACGACATCGTTCTCCCCAGAAATAACCCCAGGGAGGAATGAACGCGAAAAATCGTCGGCGATCGGTTCTTGACGATTTTTTTTTTTCCGCACCGTAATTTGGGGAGATTTCGTTCGCGAAGAGTAAACACGATTAGGGGTTGAAATCGGCGCATTCCGCGCGGTGCGTACGCGCGGAATGTTTGCTGTAACAATAGGACAAGGAGAGGCGGAATGTTTGCTGTAACAATAGGACAAGGAGAGGCAAGAGGGCAACCGGAAGGGGTGAGGGCAGGGTTAAGGGATTGTTTTGAAATCCCGGCCGTGAAACCCGAAGGACGGAGCTTACGGGGACGAGCTTCACGGAAAGCCCTTGAAAGCTGCTAATTGTGATTAGAGCGAGTGTGCGCGCTATAACGGCGCGGCGGCGTAATTAATGAGGGCCCGAGCTTTACTAACCGGCGTAAGTGAATGAATCGTCGAAGGCGGAGCTTTATGTTTCCGAGGGTGGAGGGGTGAGCGGAACTCGCGGTGGGTGCGATAAACGAGCCGAGCTTGCGGCCGAAAGTAGGACCGATGAAAACGAATCGAGCTTGCAGCGGACGCGAGCGTAAGTTTAGCCATGAAACGGGCGACGACTTCCCGGACGACGAGACAGAGTGGACGAGTTAAGCTCCGGAAGTTGCTCGACCTTAACTCACGGGGGAAGTGGTCGACCCTCGATAATCTCTTTCGATAAGGAGCTTTCGTTATTGGTGCAGCGCGGGCTTCAGGTGTCCGGATTTAACCTGGACCATGGGAGATCGAGGGCTTGGCGCGAGTGTGACGAAGAAAAAAATCGAAGGCATGTACAAGGTGTCACTAAATTCGTGATTATGATTCACCCATCGCTTTCCACGATAAAAAGGGAGTCGAAAAGCTCTATGTAATTTTCTTCTACAGTGCATAGTTTCCCTGGAATCATTTTCCGAAGAACGGCCAACCAGCCGTGGCGATCAGCTGTTTTCCAGTTAATTAGTGATTACAGGCAAAGTATGCACAGTGGAAAGAAATTGTACGGGAGCTTTTCGCTTGATTTTCAAAGTAAAAGATAACAATCGCCGTGAATATCGTTTTCACCAGTCTTTGCCGGTACCGATAACGAAACCGCCGTCGTGTCCGGAAGGCTTAATTCGTTCTTTAATTCCAAAGCCGGTCTTCTTTCCGATTTGCGAAATCCGGCGGAGACTCGCTTTCGTCGTAAAGATGAGCTTTCGTCACGACTCGTTGATCTTGAAAGCTTCAAGCCGTCCCCGCGATTTCGGCTCGAGCTCTTGCCATCTGGCGAGTCGAAAGCGTGGAAACGATACTCTCGAGATCGAACCTCGAGGTCGGGACAATCGACGGATTTGAGTCGGCGAGCTTTTCCGGGTATCGCAAGCTGCAGCTTCCTTGCACCTCTGGCTGTTCATCTTTTTCCATTAACTCCTCAAGACGTGATCGAGCCACGGCGATATCTCGTATGAACGTAACGTGGATTCAGTGCTCTCGGCGCAAGCTCTCGTCCAAGCTCTCGATCTCTGTTCCGAAATAGTTACGTCTAGTGTTGATCGAACGAATGGCTTCGACGTTTTTCGGCCTGGATATCCAGCGTGTCGCGATATTTGCGACGCGTTGTCGCGTATCGTATCGCGGATGATGCATCGCGGCGTCGCGTCGCGGCCGAGCTTCCGCCTTTGCAGCCTGCGGCCGGCACGATATCGCCACGAGAGCTTTCGCCTCCGACAGCCTCCATTTCCCTGTCCCTCGTTCCCCTCACGTCCGCGTTTTTCCCGTCTGCCCACGGCCAAAACCCCGGCAAAAGTCTCGCGTTTCCCGCGGAATGACTGCCGCATCCTTTGCGCTTCTGCCAGGACGCAAGGCGCCTGTCGGTCTTTTGCAAGCTCCCCGGCACGAGAAAGCTGGCCAACGGGTTATCCCCGGGTTTACATAACAAGCTAGAGTTGTACCAACCTTCTTCTCCGGCGTGAATACTTGGATTTGTTTCAAGAAACATCGGAAAGCTCGCTCCTCCTGTACTTTTTCGAGTCCTTGCTCGGCGCCATGCGCTTTTAGTATGAAAGTGTCATATGTACATACCATATAGTCAGAATAAAACTTTTCTCAAAACTGGACGCACCGAATAATTTGAAACTTTAACACGTGATTACAAGGGTCCCAGTGAAGATCTTGAGAGCCGCGGGATTTCATTTTTCGAATATACACATTATTGGGACCTTTGCAATCACGTGTTGAAGTTTCAAATTATTCAGTCCACCCAGCTTGGCGAAGTTTTATAAATATTTTTTTGGACACCCTTGTTTCAGGGGAGCTTTTTCTCATGGCATTCGCTTTTTTTCCCACGACTTTACGTCATCGGGGCTTTGTGTCACGCGTGTACAAAGCTCTGATGTAAACAGAATGGACGCGCGTCCATGTCTCTCGATTTTCGACGGGACGTATCGAGCTTGCGGATGTTTGGAAACGACGGGATGCATAACCTGATATCCTTTGGTCACCAGAGCTTGGGCTTTTTAGGCGCGCGCCCGGGAACCGGATCCATGCGACGCTTTTATTAAGCCCAGGGGGGTCTCCATGGCCGATAAGATTTACGCCTCCGTGGGGTGGGTATTAGAGTAATTAGTAATCAGACTTTGCCGGGCATAGGTCATCGAACGAAGCTCCCGAGCGCGGCGCTTAACGCGAGCTTGCGACGTCTCCCAGGTAACGCCGCCGGCAAGCTCCCGGAAGCCTCGAATCGATAACTTGCCCAGGGAGAAGTTCCCGGCAAGGAGCTCGAGAGCTTCACCGAAAAGCTCCCGGTAAAGCCCGAATGCCCGGCAGAGAGGAGAGGAGTCGAGCTTTTCGCCATTGCGCGGGAATTTCCGGCCCCTTAGAGAAATTCATGCGATAAGGAAGGAAATTTCGTTGCCGACGAGCTTTCCCCTTTACACTCTTGAAAGTTCATTTACACCCTGCTTGCATCGCCGCAACCCTGAAAGGGATGAGCTTGCAGGCGGGTAATCTCGCCAAAAGGAGGTTGTCTACCTTGCCGACCAATCGGCCGGTAAAACGGGATCATAGAGAAGTAGTTTGAATGAGCTTTCGCTGGAAACGTGGATTTACGCGCGCAGTACCCTGTCGGTAAAGAGTGGGTTCTATCTGTTCCTGGATAGCTCGTAAGCTCAAGCTCTAAGTTCCCGCGGATAACGTTAACTGGTGTCGGTAAAGTCGGTAAAGGAACTCTCTCTGTTGCAGCGGTTCCGGTCGGTATGGAAGAGCCGAGGAGAGAGGAAGAAGAGAACGTACCCCAGAGAAAGGAAGTCCAGGAAGGAGCCAGGAGGGAGAAGAAGGGACGTCCTGGCCAGGGCTCCTCGGTGGATGGCAAGCATTTGGACGACCCCCCGAAGGAGCTGAAGGACGAGGACGAGGAGCCGGCGTATGCCGTCCTTGTCGTGCGAGAGGATCCTCGGAGGAAGGACCCTATCCTTGCTCGAGGTGGGGACCCTGTCCTTACTCAGAGGAAGGACTCCGTCCTTCCTCGGCGAAAGGACCCCGTCCTTACTCGAAGGAAGGACCCAATCCTTCCTCGGAGGAAGGACGAGGACGAGGAGCCGGAGTATGCCGTCCTTGTCTTCCGGGAGGATCCTCGGAGAAAGGACCCCACCCTTACTCGACGCGAGGACCTTGTCAATCCTTTGCAAGAAGACCCTGGCCTCAAACGACGGAAGGACCCTGTCCTTCCTCTGCGAGAAGACTCCGATCAACGGGAGGACCTCGTCCTCGATGGATGCAAGGACCCCGTCCTTACTCTACGTGAGGATCCCGTCCTTACTCCATGCGAGGACTCCATCCTCCCTCGACAGGAGGACTCTGCCCTCACTCTTCGGAAGGATCCCGTCCTTACTCTTCGAGATGACCCCGTCCTTACCTCGCAAGACGCCGAGGACTCGCCCGCGCCCGAGGACGGGGCTCGGGCGCAGGATGCGAGTGCCAACATTTATGACGAAGGCGCCTTCGAGGAGGATTTCATGTACTGGTCCAGGACGCGCGTTACCGTGATCTCGTCGGAACGCGAGGAGACCCGGGATACGTTTATGACGTGCTGCCTGAGAATCACCGGTAAGTGTTGAGCTTTTACGCGCCGCCTCGAGGAGGTCGTCTAGGGATCCCGTGACCAAGTGCGACCCTGCGGGATCACCCGGGAAACGTCGGAACTCGGGCTTTCCCGTATCAAGAGACGCTTTCCCGACGGAACTACACGTACTCATGGTGTGGCTTTTTTCGTCCCTCCATCGCAGAATTCGATGGCTTCCGCCACCCTTGACCGCTTCCACGGTACTCAGTGGTTCGAGGGTACTCGAAATATAAATGGGAAAAAATTCCGAAACGTCGCGGTACTCCCTAAGTACCTCAAATTTTTTTACGGATTTTCGGTGCCGAACAATTCGCGCGATTTTCCAACTCGATGATGATTCTCGTGGATAAATGTTTACGTTGTTCAAACTTTTAGTGGATCTCGGAACCCGCGCGAGATAGCAGAATTTGGATATCAAATTGTGTTTCTAAATGGCGGGAATTGTTCGCGGATACTCAGGTTTAGTTTTTACTAGACACAGGAAGGACTGACGATGAAATTGCAGGAAACGTTAACGTGGCGTTTCGTCGGCAATTTTTATTACGTTTGCGGTTACCGCTAGAGAGAGTATGCGAGTCCTTATCGCGAGGACTGCGCCTCTCGAGGTGTCCTTATCCTCGCGCCTGGAACCGTAGTTCGGTTTAATTCGGGGACACTTCCTTCGCGAAACTCCTTGGGCAGAGGTTCGCTGCGCGTCTTGGAATCCCTCGCCGGAAGCGCGTAATCGTAAAGATACGGAATCGCAACGGGCATGCCAAACTGGAAGTGCCGAATCGCCGTACTTCCAGATGTAACGGGTGGCGAGGTAAGAGCCAACTGGTTAAATCGTAACTAGCGACAGAACCAGGAATAACGACGACACTTTACACATATCCGACATGTCCTACACACCCCGCGATGGACCTCGAATATCGACTAGAGATATCGAATATCTGAAAGAATCGCAAACTAAGAAGGATATTCAGATATGCCCGATAAAAGATTAAAGAGTGGCGCATAAGCGAATTCCGAGTCATTCTAAAAAAAAAAAAAGAAAATCCCGCCGAACCAACGAAATGTTTTACTAATCGAAAGAATAACTATTTGACTGAAATAAATCGTCATATTTCCGAATAAATGCTGCATCGAATTTATTCCAATTCACTCGAGTCAGGTAATGATCCTTCGAGTTATCGGAGTATTTATTTGGTACCGTTCGAAGAATGATTTCTTTCACTCGAGGACATTTCGGTTCTCTTTTTCTCAGGGGAGGAAAGGATGAGAAACGTGGGCGCGAAAATGGCGGTCGGGAGAGGGCGATAATGGCGGGAGATACCAAGGGAAGAAAAGGGGATACGTAGAGGGTTTTCCAGGGAATGTGAGGGAGGGAAATCTTCCCTGTGGAGGGTAAAAAGCTGGGAGAGGGAAAAGGGTAACTCGGAGGAGACGGAACGACCGGAGAGACGCGGAAAACCGTGGGGCGTGTCCGTGAAGTGGCGAAACGCCCATTGAAAGGTAAAGGAAAAGTGGAGGCCATAATGCAGGGCGTTATAGGCTGTAAAAGTAACGGCGGAATTGCAAAAATCCGCCTGATGCAATTGGCTCCAGATCGACGTCGATATCCGATCTCGAGGCCCGAGTGCGTTACTTCCACGGTACCGCGTCACTTCGGGGGAATTCGCACCCGCGGTTTCGCGCAACGTGGGAACGCGTTGCCGGCAAAGTGGCTGGCCGACGTTACCGACGCAGCACCTTCGTGCCGCAACATCGAGTCACTCGAAGCTGGCGATCGCGTGTGCCAGTATATGCAGAAATTACTATGCAATTTGCCCCGGGATACATTTCACTCCATTTCTTTGCATCTCTACGTTTTACCAATTTCAATCTCCCTCTCTCGTTCGCGCGCACTTCGCGCGTCTCTCTTTCTCTCTTCTTCGGTCGCGGTGCATTCGGCAGCCCTCAGGAAAATACCCGGTTCCCCTTATGTGGACGAGTAAGAAAAGTATTAAACTCGAGAAAGAGAGAGGACTCGAGGGGAAGAACAAAAAGTACGAGCGCGCAAAAGTCGCGGAAATCACTCGGGGAATGCACGGTGCTCGGCGAGTACACGCGGAAAGAGTCACTTTGTTTCGGGGAATGTAATGTATTGAAAATGTTGCCGTAAATTCATTCAACCCTTTCTTCTAAAGGAGGCTCTCCCGTGGTTATGTCCACGTTCGGTGCGCTTGCAGACATTTTTACTGTTGGTGCAATCATTGCTGCGGTGATGTCCTTTTTCGAAATTGCAGATGGCCTTTTCTCCGTGCATTGAGACGATTACGATGGCGCCGACGTTTGTAAATCTTTTCGGGTCATTTATTGCCTCGCCCCGAGGATTTCGAAACGCTGGTCATCGACCGGGAAATATCCCCGAATATCCGCGCACCTCCGTGGGAACGGAAACAAGGGACCTGGCCACTCCTAACTTCCTAATTGCGCCCCCGAACATCATCATCGCCTAACATCGCCGAATGATCGCGGTCTTCTCTACGTCGACAAAAGTCGCGACCGAAACGCACCGCCCCCCCCCGCGGAATCGCGAAACCGTCAACGATACTTCACGTACACGCAGAAAAAAAAAACCTCGATCACTATACCAAAAAATTGTACATTTGAAAATCGACTAGCAAAAATATTTCCCATATACAGATTGGATGTATGATATATTTATTTGCAAGAGTTAGCTAGCGTTTCTATCATAGGAAGTTCCTCCGTGAGTACGTACATCTACGTATGATAAGGCTATAAATATTTTTGACGTTAACGCAATTACCGCAGAGTAGGTACTACTCTCATGGGAGGAAAATTTGTTCAACAACGTCGTCACTCGTTAAGGATGCAAACGTCATGAAGTTTCCCTGTGATTACACCTACATTTGGTTAAGCTGTAAACATTTCCGACGTTAACGCAATTACAGCAGAGTACTAACTCTCACGAGAGGAAAATTTGATCAGGAACTTTGTCACTTGCTAAGAACGCACGCGTCATTTTCCGCGCGCAGATGGCACCCCCTCTCCCTCCCTTTCTCCTTCGTGGATATTAATATCGCCACTCTGGGGAACATTAAGTTATTAACCGGCGGTCGCGCAATTAAACGCGCCCGTCCGTGGCGCGTTGACGCGCACCTCTCGCGCGGATCTTGTGCGCAATTTGCGAAGTGCGTGCACGCGTAAAAGTGCGTCTCTGTGATCTCGCGAGAACGGGATCTTCACGGCCGATCAAAGAGGCTGAGAAGCCTCCGCACACGTGCACAGAGAGGAGCGTGCAGTCGCCGTTTGAGCGGCACGTCGAGCCGTAAACGTCACTCAATGCCTAGGTCAACGTACGGCTCTCGGATCTTATTATAAAAGCGGCGGGTAATGTCGTTGCCAGAGCGCCGGACTGACCCTTGGCCCGTCGGTCGTCATTTACGCGGAAACGCGGTGAAATTGCGACTCGAGCTCATCTTCCTTCCCGATAACGTCATCTACAGGGCCGAAGTCCCGGCGAGAGCGTCGGGCGTCGCACTGACCGCGGCGCGTTCACCGACGGATTTTCAATCGGAGCTGTGCTTAAGGTGATATGACAGAGTGAATTTACATATCAAAGTGTGACAATATTTATAAAATATTTCTCCAAACTGAGTGCACCGAATCATATGAAACTTTAGCACGTGGTTCGAAAGGCCCCCTAAGGATGCTCGTGAGATTTCATTTTTCATAAAAAATTTTTTTTTATTTAGCTTAGACTAGGACCAAAATTACATTTTGTTTTTTCTGTGGAAAATGAAATTTTACGAGCTTCCGCAATCACGTGTTAATGTTTCGAATTATTTGGTGCACCCAGTTTGGAGGAAAAGCTTTGTAAGGATCAAGAGCGCCGCGCTCTGTGTGACGTATGATACACTTGGTGGGGTGTTGTGTCCAGCGATGTTACTCGCGTAGTTTCGGATCCGGTAGGCGAAATCTAAGAAATGAGGAGATTCTTTGAGGGTTTTCCTGGATCGGCTCGGGTACCGGTACGTCGCCGCGTCGTCGCGTCGCGTTAATCGAAGGAACGCCGGAGAAGCACGCGCGCGGCGCGCTACGTGACTCGACGCGGCGCGAGTGAGACGGAGCGAGCCGGGCGCCGCGGGAGAGAGAAGGACGCCGAGTGCTCCAATCGGCTCTTAGGTACGCCGAGGTAAACGCACTGCGGTTTGTTTACTGCGCAGCACGAGCCGCGAGGAGCGCGCCACCACGAGGAAGGGACGCGCGACCGCGGTGTGAACGACCCTGCCGAAAAGGCGGCCGCGACGCGGCACGCGCGGCCTTCCTGCGGAATAATCCGGAAACCCTGCTCTTCGCCTTTTCCTCGCGGAATTCGAGGGAAACCGAGGAGAAGGGAACCAAGGTCGCGCATCGTGCAGCCGATATACATGGAAAAAAGGACATCTTCACTTTATATTAGTTATTGTACCAAATGGCATACTTCACCTGTCATTTTCGTACAAGAATTATAAAGAAATCGAGGTAAAACTCCAGAAATCCTCTGGATTCATGATTTCTGGGGCCCTAATTGACTGCAGAGGGACCCCCGTGCCATCTGTGATTTCCAGGTCAATTAAATTTTCACCCCGAGACCTCGTATTACCATCGTTTTAGCATAGAAGCGCATACAACCCTTTTTTTGCCTTTATCGCGATCAAATGCGAGTTTATCGAGTACCAGAGTGTTCTAAATTGTCGTAAAATTGTCCTGACCTTTTCGATTCTCATATCAGAGCCTTCGATAATTGTATATTGATCGAAATATGAGAGCTCGACGCCATTTTGATTCTGGTCTGGGTTGAGTTAAAATTTTTTTAAAAAATCCAAATTTTTAATGTGTCAGGACAATTTTTAGATGATCAGGAGTGATGTGCCAATGTTTTGGACAGTTTGGTCTAATACCCTTTAAAAAATGTGTTGTATTCGAATCGACTGATTTTAAGGGGGTTTTATTTCAC